GAAAAAGAGAGAGAGAGAGAGGAAGATGCCAACAATGATATGTATACCTGAAGATGGCTCTTAACGTGAGCGAGGGTGAGACCTTTAACCTCCATCAGCTCAAGAACAAGCTTCGGCGTCGCTTCTATAACACACATCACGCAGATGAATTCCCATTCCAAATAACTTCCCAATGCTTAAATTAAGAAGATGAAGAGACAAACAGGAACATTAATAAAACTAGACACACAAAGAGGTAGGTTTGGCAACGGGTGGGTCCAGATTGGCTCGACCTGGACCTCACCAAGACCCAACTTGGGGTTAGGCTTTTGGACCTGGACCTGGACCCAAACCATTAGATCCAAAACTTTAAAAAGTGGCTAGGTCTAGAACTTAAAGAAAAATTTTAAAAAAATATTCAAAAATATATATTCCAAGTGCGCGTGGACACATGTACATACATCATACACATACATAAAATCCACGGACTTGTAGTTTAAATGTGTGTATGTATAGCTTATATATGTGTGTGCATTTTAACTATGTGTGTGTGGATATGTTTCGGTCCTAGACCTGGATTCGACTTGGGTCTAGGGTTTTGGACTTGGACCCGACCCACCAAGTCCAAAACTTAGACTCCCACCTCGAATAAGAAATAACACACTTGAATCACATTTTGTAGTTTAGTGTAGTGATATTATGATCAAAAAGCTATTGAATTTACGAGGGATTTGATTTGATTAAAATCGGTTCAACTTTTAATCAATTTATAAAAAATAATTAAAAAATATATATAATATTTCAAGTTAAACAATTTGCCCACTATCATTTTGCTCGTTGAATCAGCTAAAGCCCGCCGCTCTAAACGGCCAAAATAAGTGAACTATCGATTTGGAGTTAGTTTCTATTAACTTACCTTGGACAAGACCCGTCAAGGCCATGTCTCGCTTAGACAATCTAGCCATTAATAACTATAGCCTAGATCCTACTTTTATAGGGCCGGGCTGACGGGGCATGTTAGGAGAGGCCGTTAAAAAAAATTTAACACTAACTCCTCGTCATAATAATAAGGGTACGGTTTGTATAGGGCTTAGGCTCTAAACAATCCAATTGTAACCGGCCTTTAAATAGTTACGAGAGATGTGGTTTCAGAAAATCTTTTTTATAATCTTAAAATATATTATTTTTATAGCGTTTAAAGATGAAAAAACAATGTAGGTCGAGAGATATATGAAATTTTGAAAATCGACGGTTCAAAAGTGGGTTACATAATACACTATTTTAAAAAATTTAAAATCAATTTTTTTCTCATATCCATAAATGTGGAGACGATGAATTTGAAGATATTTGAAAATCAAAACAACCTTTTCCAGTCAAATTTTTGAAGTAGGTTCGAATTTGATTATTTAAAGCCTCGGTTTTATTTAAAATTTTTCCAAATAATAAAGAGGAAAGGTATGAATCAGAAACACATACAGAAGAAGGTTTATATGGTAAACAAATTAGAAAGGACGGGTACGAAAAAGAAGAGAAATGATTAGAACAGGAAGGATAAAAAAAAAGTAGAAAAGGAGAGATATGGAGGGCAATAGGAAAGAAGAGAGAGTAAGAAGAAACAAAAGAACAGTGAGAAAGGAAGATTAAGAATGAAGAAATGTTTCGAAGAAGAAGGATAAGAAAAATGCAGAGTGGGAAATGAAGGCTAAGAAAAAAGCATTAGAAAAATAAGAGGAAAAAATAGAGAGAGATAAATGGTGGTAACGGGCTCGGCCTGGCCCTTGTCCCCGTAGGCCTAGCTACGGGCTAGGCTCGACAAAAATAAATGAAGAAAAATAAAAGAAAAAAAAAGCAGGGCGTAGCCAAATTGGCTAAACACTTGCCTTAGCTCGGCCCTCAGGCCATAGTTTATAGCCTAAGCCTTATTTTTATTTTTATTTTATTTTTTTCAGGCAGGTGGGTGAGGCGAGCCGCCCAGTCCACTGCCGCCCTAGAGAGAGAGAGAGAGAGAAGTAGAGATAGAAAGAAAGAGCATTAGAAGTTTGTTGATTACTGTATTCTCCGCCTAGGCGTTCGACGGCCGCAACAAAGCGGAGGTGGAGATCAGGGGTCCATCGAAGGCGAGGATGCCTCGATCGATTGTAACGACGCCCACAGATCTTCCTCCCCATCATAAACTCCTCCATTCTCTGTCTCTCTAAAAATTCTCTCTCTAAAAACTCTCTCTCTCTCTATACTCTAGAGACGCATACACCCCACCATGAACATTGCTACTTTCAGTTTATTTTATATACCAAAAAAGTGGAAACCAAAAAAAAAAAATTTGGGGATTATAGTTTAAACTTTAAAAGGTTACATGCAGGCTGCTGACTAGCAGAAGGACGCCATAATTCCCTGGATATGGAATTATTCGTGTCCGTGCTCTCTCTCTCACTCAAATCCTGCCACTTTCTCTCTCTAACCGTACTAACACATCTGAACTCCTTTATCGTCTTCCCATCAATATCTTCCTTTCTCTCTCTAACTCTGCATCTGAGAGCCTCAACTTTCACTTGTCTCTCTCCCCCAACTTTCTCTCTCTGTGTTGCATTCTCTCTCAGTTCCTACTGCTCTCAGTTTCTATAGCTTCCTCTCGTTAACTGGTAACTACCATTGGTTTCTCTCTAGATCCTTCCCTTAATAGTAGATTAACATGAACTCTCTCTCTCTAGACTTCTATATACATGAACTCCTCTCTCTCTCTATCTCTCTATCTCTGTCTACAGAGCTGACAGAGAGAGAATAATTAGGGAACATTGATTGTAAAGTGTGCTGTGAAAGTTCCTTTTGCCGAGCTGCTGGCTGCCTCGTATCGCTAACTTTTTGGCCTTACACTTTGCTGCTTGTACTATGTACTGGCGTTGCCGGTGCTCTCTCTCTCTCTCTCTACCAGGAGGCCATCCATGCTTCTCCCGTTTATTTTTGTTTGTAGTGAAAATATTGAACAGGGGTTCCTTGATTTTAAAAAATGACACGGTTGGTTTGTTGGGCAACAGAAGGAATGTGTGATGGGAGAGATTTCTTATTCATAGCCTCAAATAGGAAAAAGAGGGCCTTAATACGTAACCCCTTTTCCTTTTTAAGTGGGATGACTTCTCTTCTGGATGGCTAATTCCCATTAGTTATCCAAGAAACTGGATCGGCCATTCAGAAACTCATTTCAAATCGGTGAACAAGACCGGTTCACTCGTGTGAGAATTAGTATATTTATGAGTAATTTATGTACGGACGTAAAATGATATAGAAAAATATAAAATTACATAAGAAGCCGATCAACCTGTGTGTGAGTGTTGTTTTTTTTTTTTTTTTTTTTCAAAATGGCTTTTCGGTTTTAAGATGTCATCTTCGAACCACTGTTTAATTTGGTTTACTTTTAGTTTTTCCATTAGTAGGGCAATGCACAATTTGGTTTACTTTTAGTTTTTCCATTAGTAGGGCAATGCACAAGCGATCCGATGTTAGCATCATGTGACCATCCTGCGGGGTTTTTCTAACATTCGATCCTCCTCTCTCCATCTCTCTCTCTCTCTCCCTCTCACAACCTTCTTTCTCTCTCTCTAAACAGCCGACCGGCCCAAGCATCCAAGGGAGGATTTCCAGCCACAGAAGCGAGATGTCGATGAGAATCTGTCTGCTTATAGAAAATTTGGCCTATTTCATATTTTTTTATTTGATGTTATATATGTACATAAATTACTCTAAAAAATGAATATAAAAATGGAAAAGTAACAAAAATATATAATGTTCGGGAATTGGGCAACTCTACTAGCGAGTCGCCCAATTCTTGGACCGACTTGTCCCGTTCACTGATGTAATCAGGTGAGTCTATAGGAATCAGACCAATTCTTAATTCTAACAAAACCACCAGTTTGATTTAGATGGATTTGCGATCCAGATTCGAACCTGGTATTTAAAACGCTAACGATTTCTACTGTGGTGCACTTCGGAGAAGTAAAAATGAAGGCACAAAAGGGTGTTGGTATGAGAAACTTTATGACAAAGAGACCTAAGATTATAAATTCCAACCTTTACATTCAGAAAATGAATTATGAATTCTAACCTTTTTCCTTCAGAAGAGGAATTATGAATTCCAACCTTTTTCCTCATGGCTGGTAGTCCTTTTGTCAATTTATGCATGTGCATTGAGACAAACCTTGAGGAGGACTTTTTTGCAGGAGGTCTACGGACCATGTGGTCTATACTAGGGCAAACAAGACCAAACATATTTATGATTAAGAAGATAATTATAGGCAAAACCATGCCATATATATGGACCCGGTTTCTTTGAGTCCATGTAAAAATGAGGCACCTCTTAAAAATCTATTTTTGAGATGGATTTTTTGACTTAGTTTTTAAGGACATGTAATCTCTAAGATGGAGATCATGAGTATGAAAAAATAAATGAATTTTGAAAATTAGAAATAACAATTTTATTAAAAAAACATTTGCACCATTAGTTTCAATTGTTTTTAGAAAGATCACCTATTTCCATCCATCTTTAAAATGGATGTTTTATACCTCTGGACCGCATATATTGAAATGCGGTCCAGCCAGCAAGAAACAATTTTCCCATATATATTTATCATTAGGAAGATAATTTCAGGCCAGACAACCAAGATCAAACAAGAAGAGACAAATGGACGGCTGAGAATAATGAGTTCACTTTACCGGCTCATCTCATTGTCCTTAGATTGAAGTTACCAAAAATGCTCCAAATAGAGGATTTCCTATGGCCCACATTGTGTATATGGGGGGGTGTCATACTGGTAGATTAGATTTATGAGGCCCAATGTTTCAAAACCCGAATCAGTGGGGTAAATTGTCCACCCCATAAATCCGTGTCAAATCAGATTGCCAGATACACTCCCTATGATAGACCATTTTCCTTTGGTAAAAAAGGTTGCAAGCATTTTGTAGATGTCAGATGTGAAATTAGGTGGTTGGAGATATGGTACAAAATAGGTGATTGAGCCAACTGTTAAAAGTGCACCTCCAATTGCCTAATTTTAAATAGAATAGCCAAAAGTGAATATGACCTTCTTATACCAAATTTAAATGATACTATTATATACTTTCCTTGCAGTTAGTCACTCTCTTTTTTCTCAAATCCATTTTCTCCTACCCTTGATTATCTGTTCATCTCTCTGCACACCAATTGCATCTTTGTTTTCTTCTTAAAAAGCTAGATATATTTATCTTCAATGGCTTCCACCATCCAATAAGATTTTTTTAAAGGGGAGCCTAAATACCTAGAAATAGAGAGGCAAAAAAATGAGGGAGATCCTCTTGAATGTCCAAGATAGGTTGCTTATTGGTTCTAAACTTTAAGCTCATATTGCTTGCTCATCCCGGAGCATAATGTATATTTACTTCTTTGGGCCAAAGACTAACTCAGGACAACTTTTTCTATTTAAAAATTTGGAACCCACTTTAAAGATAACACATAAATACTCCCATAAAATTAAAATGAATTTTGAGTTCCTAAATACTTAGATTTGATTATTCGAAATGGCAACTGCAATTTTTCGAAACATATATAGGCCTATCGTTTTTTCTTTTCCTTTTTCTGTTTTTTTTTTTTATTGAGGTTGGTCACGGGTTTAAAGAGCTTACAGATCCAAAAGTTGGGTTTCCAAAATTATTTCATAGGTTTTCACTCTAGGGGGTGAATCATTATATGGCCAGGGGACACGTATAATCTTTTGGCTTGAATCTTGAAAGTTCAGGGTGAGAATCCTTGGAAACTCTTTCCAAGCACAAGAAAAACTTTTAAATTTGTCATGTTTCAAACCTCAATAACATCTTTCTCTTTATATTAAAAGTGATGCCCTAGTCATGTCTTAGGATTTCAATGATCTGGGGAATGTTAATAAGCTTTCATGATCCCCTGCACAAGGAAACCACTTTTCATAGGGAAAGTTAAATGAGTCTTGAAAGTTGAGTAAAAAGCATGGTCCTTCCAGTCCTCCACATTAAGTTCGACACCAAGATCCTGTGTTTGAAATAATAGATTGTGAGGGTGGATCATACAGCCTATGATAGCATGTCATATGATCGGATTGTCGTTTCGATCAGTCCAAATTGGCAATTTAGAAAATATTAAAAAAAACTCAAAGAATAAAAATTGAAAGAATGGCATGTGGGTTATGATTTCTATTAAAAAATTCAAAGAATAAAAATTGAAAGAATGGTATGTGGGTTGTGGTTTATTAGGATACTTAGGGTTTTGGGGGACGTGAGTACCAAGCTAGTAACAACTCCTTCCCGGAATCAGTTCGCTCCCGGTTGATTCCCAAACAGAAGGACTCGAATCCAATAAGCCTGCCATCAAATGGTTGTTCAAGCTATGCCTAGGGTGTTTAGCCCTTAAGCTTCAATAAAACAGCCTCAATTCTATTTCTCATATGGAATCAAAGATCAAATTCATAACTAGAAGGAACTTCTAATACCCTGTTGGGACATATCATGTGGCTTTGGCTTTTGGCTTCAATTTGTACATTATGAATTGACCCAACCTAGGAGGAGCCTGATTGCAAACCAACATTCTTAATGTTATGTAACCACTTGTATACTACTTTTCAAGGTGATATTATTAATGAACAATAGTAGACCATTATAGTAGTGATGTTAAACTCTATTACTTGGGTATATGATTCGAAATTCTGGACAGTGCCTCGCTCGCTACCTATACAGTATGGATAATGTTTTTTTGTGCATGTTGATATACCAAGGACATGACATAGAAACCTAGACACTTTTGTTAATGCTTCTAAAAAATCTTACTGCTGCAGTACTTAAATTTACCTAAAATCCTACCTCCCCTTTCTCCAAAGCCTACTGACACATCATATCTGAAAAGCTAATTTTAAAAATTAGCATGTTTAAATCATGTACTTGTATCATACACTAATTTACATTAAACAGAGTGCCCTGCTTTATATGGTGACTATGAACCTTTGTTTGTTTTTTTTTAAGCAGTTTATGGATGGGAATATATAGCAATATGCATTTGTATGGTCAGGCAACCACAATTACTTAAAGAAAGGATTGCCTTATTTTTATTCTATTCCCAATTTTTGTTCTTAAAGTTTTTTCTTTTTTTCGATAGCTCAGCAATATGAATTGAACTTGAGATGTAGTGTTACTAATGTCAACTGCTTAATCGCTTGAGTCCAAGCCCTAACGCAAGCCCAATTCTTTCTTATGTAGTCTTCAACTCGCCAAAAGTAAAGTAG